TGACAACTATGTCGAGGTCAGACCCCGACATCATCCAAGAAACATTCTAACTGTACCTCCTCCAACACAGTCCATAGTACTTTGAATATTCTCCTCCAACACCATAATTCAAATGCATTGATTCTTCTTGATTCCTTTATTCAACATCCAACTTTCACATGCATATGAGGCAACTGAAATACCCTGACTTTGTTCAGGCACACTAACTGACATCTTTGCTCTTGAACATTTAAAGAGGTCTTTTGCAGATTTGTCTAATGCAAATACATCATTTGATTTCTTGACTGCTGCTTCTATAAGTACTGATGGTTGTTCCAAGCAAAGTGAAATCTTTGACAACTTCAATCTTTAATCCATTTATCATGCTATTATTTATTGATCCAGTTGTGATGATTTTTTGTTTTATTTATATTGAGGTGCAATCTATATTAAAGGTTATGGTCTGCTTTTCATTGGTATTTCAAGTCCTCTTCGCTTGCAATAAACCAGGTTGTTTCATCTACATATTGCAGGTTGTTAATGAGGCTATCTCCAATCCTGATGCCAAGCTTTTTTGGTCTATGTACTCATGAGCCCAATTAACTGTTCTGGAATATCCATTCTTCACAATGTGATCCACAGTCAGAATCCACACAGTTGAAAGTCTCTACGTAGTCAATAAAGCACAGTAAACAGCTTCTCCGGGTATTCTCTGCTTTCAGCCAAAATCCATCTGATGTTAACAATGATAGCCTATGTTCCATACACTCTTCTGGATCCAACTTGAATTTCTGGAAGTTTCCTGTCTACTTTACAATCATTTTTGATAGATTCAGCAGAATTTTATTTGCATGTGATATTAATGATACTGTTCGATGACTTCCTCATTCCATTGGGTCACCTTTCCTTAGAATGGGCATAAATATGGATATCTTCCAATTGCTTGGCAAGGTAGCTGTCTTCCAAATTTCTTGGCATAGATGATTGAAGGCTTCCAACACTGCATAATTTTGTTGAAAGATTTCAATTTGCATTTCGTCAATTCAGGAAGCCTTGATTTTCATCAATGCCTTCCGTGTAATTTGGAATTTCCTTTAATATCATTGGTTCTTGAGCATATGCTACTACCACTTGAAATGGATGAGAATCAACCATTTCATTTAGGTACAGTGACTATGTCTTCTTCAATCTTCTTTTGATCATTTTTACATCATTCAATACTTTTCTCAGATAATCCTTCAATTTTGCAACTAGAGGCTTGACTTTTAGATTGAGAAATGCTGAACAGTTCTTCCCTTTCAGTTTCTTTGCACATTTCATAGTAATACTTGCCTTTGTCTTCTCAAGCTACCCTTTGAAATTTTCTGTTCAGTTATTTATGTTCATAATTTCTTTCATTCGCTTTAGCTTCTCTGTGTTCATGACCAAGTTTCAGAGTCACTTGTGACATCTATTTTGATCTCTTTTTTTCCTTCCTGTCTTTTTAATGACCTTTTGCTTTCTTCCTGAATCATGTTTTTGATGTCATCCCACAGCTCTTGTCCTTTGTTCATTAGTGTCTAACGCATCAATGTATTCGTGAGATGCTCTCTAAATTCAGGTGGGATATGTTCAAGGTCATATTTTGTCTCCCATGGGCTTGTTTTAATGTTCTTCATCTTTAACTTGCTGAACAATTCCTGGTCTGTTCCATAGTTGCCCTTCACCTCAATGTCACATTCTTCTGATAGAAAACTATCATCAATGATATCTTTTCCAGCACTGGTTGAAGGCAACATTATGAAATTAAGGACCTCAATGTTTTGACATCAAACAAGGACACCTTTTTGTTCTTTGGTTTCCTTTTATTTCCTTCTGCTTTCAGTGACATCATTTGCACAGAGATTTTTGCCTCCAGCAGGAAGGGATGGAAAGGAGAACAAAATGCCATAAATTCTGATTGGCTGGGGGCTCATTTGGGTCCCTGGTGTGGCACTATATGATCAACACTGTACTGTGAACCACAAGGTAGGCAGTTCAAACCCACCAGCTGCTCCTTAAGAACCCTACTATGAGTCAGAACTGATTCAATGGCACAACAACAAGGAGATCATTATGTGATTATAATGGAGAAAAAAGTAACACTGTACCTTTGAATGTGATATATTTGCTTCTAAAATACAATTGATTGTTTCATCTGAGAGGTGGATAGAAGCCTGAAGCTCTTCCACTAACTTGGTAACATTTTTCATTAAATCTTTAACTTTTACACCTGAAACATAAGCACAAGGAAAGGAGTTGTATTATAGTAACTGGTAAAATTATTATTGACTGTGAAAACACAATTTGATATTAAAAACTGTCAGGAATAGTTTTGTTCATGGTGCCCAGCTCATGACAGACACCTAATAAAGCCTTATCTTACTCCACAGGAGTAAGGTATCTGAGACAATTTCAACTAAAAGGGAAACACAACCCCAGGTTATATGGTATTTTCTGCTTACCAGTTTCTGTATTACCTAAATTCTGTGTATTTTAAGATTAACTTTAGAAAGAGATTTTTTCTTAGGGAATGGTGACCAAGTGCTACATAAGAAACTTACTTCTCTACTTTATCTAGTACACAACCACACAAGGTCCTCGCCATTCCTTCTCTTGATTTTGGTACTCCATAAATTTGACAGGAGGGATACTAATTAAGAATGTTGCAGACTTCTCTAGACTTGGTATATTGAAGAAATAATGAGCATAATGAATTATGTAAGTTACACAAATGGAGAACCACAGATTCATGGATGTCAAATTTGTCCAAGGAGTCAGGGCTGGGACAAACCCAGACTACAGAAGCTCCTCTTCCCTCCTCTTGATTTTGGTACTACATAATTCTAGAATTTTCCTCATGAATCCCAAATACATAAATTTTTATTGTCCATAGTTTGTATAATTTACTTTTCATATTTTATTTTAATAGTATACTTAGGTAAGAAATTAAATTTAATTCTTAATCGAGCAAACATGGAGAAACAGCATACTTACCATCAGTTACTGTGAAATTGCTAAGGAAACTTATAATGGGATTCCCTGATGACAAAATCTCCTCCAAGCTTCTGACCAGCCTAAAACGGCAGCAGATTAAAGTTAAATTAGGAAAGATGAAACATCAGAAACAATGCTGTGCTGGAGTGAATAATATCACCTCAGTTCCCAGGAAATTAACTGGATAACAATATTGCATTTCCATAAAATTCCTCAGATAATTAGACACAAAACGTCTCTGTATGTGAATATTCATTAATATTTTCTTCTCAAAGTCCCTGCCAAGCAAGAAGAGTCTGGGGAATAAGGATGCATACGAAGTGGCTTTTAACAAATGTGAAAGTAATAGAATATATAATGGAATATATGAGAAATTAGAATAGCAAGAAGTCAGATGACTATCATTCTTTCTGTGAATAAGTCATCAGTAGAATGCAAATGATTTTCTCCACTAGTAGTTTACATCTCTAGAACACTAAGAAAATTAATCAAATATGAAGACACTTTGAAAAGTATTTGACTATTCTTGCAGACTGTAAGTAATACATTGTAATCTCAGATCATGATATTTTAGTCTAATATCTTGAGTATCAATAAAACTAGCCTTATGCCCAAAGCTACTTTTAAGAGAGGGCTTCAAAAAGTTCATGAAATTGTTTTCATTATCCTTTAATTCCATGTGTCCATGAACTTTTTGAAGCATCCTTGGACATTTTACAACTTAACCACTTAAAGTCATGGGAAATGTTCACATTGCTTGTTGTTGTTGTTGTTAAGTGTCATTGAGTCAGTTACAGGAATAGCAACCCTGTATAGTAGTGTAGTGGTTACGAATCAGGCTGCGAACCTTAAGGTCAGTGGTTCAAAACTACCAGCCGCTCCGCAGGAGAAAGATGAGGCTTTCTACTCCCGTAAAGATTTATACCCTCAGAAACCCTGTACAGGGTCGCTATGGGTCAGAACCTACTCGACGGCACTTAACAACAATAACAACACAGGACTTCTAGGGAGTATCTGGTGAGCTTGAACCAGTAACCTAGTGGTTCAAAAAGTATATGCATATGTTAAGTAGATAAGTAGTGTGTGCATACTGTTGTCTTAAAATAGCAATTAAAAATACTAGAGATATTTATAAATGAAAATACTGAAGAAGACATAAAATTCAAATTAGATATAATTACATGTGTGTTTGCTGCTGGACTGTTTCTAGAGCTTGTTGGCATTCACAGTCTTCCTCGGTAATATCTTCCACGTTGTTCTTGAAGCTTTCCAAGGATCTAAAAAGATTCCTGCTAAGACTTTCACAATTTAACTGAGTTGGTGAAGACCACATCTGTCTGATTTCCTATAAGACATTGCAATGATACAGGTTAGACACAAGCATACTTATTTGTTTATGGTCAAGTATGGTTTCCAGGCCAAGATAACCTCTCAATATGAGTTACAAGCATGATTAAGATTTTAATTTCTTTTCTTTGGTTTCAGGAAACATAAAAATGGAACTGAGCAAGTCCAATAATTTCCAGTTGCTTCAGTTTGTTGTAGAGCAGTAGAAAGAGAGAACACAGATATTACTCCTGGCTATGCTATTGACTAGCCCAGTAAGATGTCATACACAATTGCCTGGCACAGGGCATGACGTACAGCAGTTTACTACATACCAGAGCATGCCCAGTCCCCTGCTTAAAGACCCAGGAACCACATCTTAGGAGCTAAGTCCCTTGTTAGAAAAGTAATCGTTTCAAAATTTATAGCAACAAAACCTATGACTGAAAAGAAATCCTATGCAACTGTCTATGTGTAAGGGGAAGAAAACCTGAACATGACACTTCTCTTTAATTTCTGTAAACAACCTGAAAACCTATTAGTCCTCCCTCTGCAGGCAAAGGTACTCCCAGGAGTCTGCAGAGCATAGGTGGAAACCATTGGTCGAAGTTCCAAATTCTAGGACATCTCCAAACCCCCTCTAAGCTTCATGAACAGATGAACAAAATCTTATAACCATTCGACTAGCTTTATTTGGAAAAAAAAAAA